TGTAAGTGTTTCGACCTGATCACATGATTTCCTCACCATTAAATTCATGGTATGGGCTATACAAATGGTATGGCGTATTTGCAGCATCCGAGCACATGAAATCATGTTTGCTGCTGCATCAGTGACAAGACACCTGACCTTTGCAGCTATGCCCCACTCCTCCATGAGGCTCTTTTTAACTGTGGCCATGTTTTCAGCAGTGTGTTTTTCAGGAAAATGCTGCACTCCCAAGACTGACGTATGGAGTTCATGGCTTTCTTTGTCCACATAGTGGCAAGTAACCGCTAGATATGCCTCCGTATTCATGGATGTCCACATCAGCTGTTAAACTAACAGCAACGGCGCTCTGGAGGTCCTTTTTTGTTTTCTCCTTTTCCTTCTCATACCTCTGGCTCACCAAATCCTTGATGGTCTGAAAATAACCATACAAATATTCTTATACCAAAATATAGTTATATAGTACAAAAACATAATAATAACCTTTCTTAAACATACCTTCCTGCTTGGTAGAACATACGAGGGTATGATGAGCTTCAAGAGCTCCCTGAATCCCTCATTTTCAACCAAGCTGAGTGGCTGACAGTCTTTGATGATCATGTTGACCACTGCCTCATCCACTGCTTGCTTAGGAACTGCAAGCCAAAAGGAAATATTTCGTTAAAAGCTTATTTAAGGTCTGTATTATTTTTTTTTACAAACAATGTTAATCTAGCAGAGAAATGCAATAGAGGAAAACTTCCCTGATCGGGAGTTGAACCGAGGTAACTGGGGAGTGAGCTCTGAATCTTACCCACTAGACCACCAGGGCTGTAAAGTTAATAAGGAGAACATGTCAACATACCTGGGGTATTCTCACGGGTATCTGCTGATTCTTCATCGCCACCATGCCGAGCTCTATAATGCCTCAGCATTGATGAAGTGCTCTTATTGATGTAAGATAGCTCCGTAGAACAGAGCCGACACTTCACCTACAATGACATAAAAAATTAATTTATCAGAAAACTATTCAAACCACTTACCAGAACAGAGTAAAAACTAAGGTGGCGCACTGGATTCACTTGTCAAAGAAAAATGACAATGACATAGGGTATCTATCAGGATCTCGTAATAACAAGATAATATGAATAAAGCAACTGTAAGGCTATTTCACTGACTATCATATGTATCACAGGTGACGTTGTGACGACAAAGTGAATGCAATGCGCCACCCAAAAAACATATGGTATATAATGGAAAAACTAACAGTAAACAGTGCTCAAAGGAGAAAAAGATTTACCTTGTTTGGCGTCAGAAGATCAAAATTATTCCACACTGGGGAAAACTTCCTTGAACGATCCATTATAATGCAACAGCAAAACTCCATCCAACAAACCCACGACATGTTTATGCAGTTTGATACCTTATAAACACACTTTGGCGCAACAAATTCAACCGATACACTTCCTGTATCGGTCACGTGATTAGTTCTTAAAGCAATACACGCACCAATACGGGGTTTCACTCTTGGGCTCTCGGCACAGTGCTGACGCACCAGTGTTGCTCGTCCCATCACTAACAGGGACACACGTTCCACATATTTTATACATTATTGGTGACGTATGGTTTTAGTTCAAAAGTTTGCAGTTCAAATATTCTGCTGCTTTTCGAAGCGTTTTTACTTTCTTTTCTCTTCTTAATACACATTCATTCACTACTACTTACATCTGATATTTAACTCCTTCAGCCTACTTTCAGCTAAATAAACCATTACCAACTATTAAATTATTCAGCTATTTCAGGACATTGAGGTTATACATGTTGTTTATACCTTTTTTTTTAAAAACTTTTCTTTTAAATATTAAGCTTCTTCACTATTTTTCCTACTCTTTCAGTTTAACATTTCATTTTTAAGTTTCCAACAAAGTCATTGCAATGCATTTGAGCTATAACAGTTTTGATTCAAATCATTTCACTTTTCTGCATTTCTCCGCTAAGTTCAGCAAAACACTTACTTATAGCTTTTAGCTACGTAAGCTACCATTCAGCTAATAAAATATTCAGCTTTTTCTGCATTTTCAGCTAAATTCAGCAACAAAAGTTCAAAGTTTACTGCATTCGCACGCTGTTTCTCCAGGAAATGCATTTTCTAGTTCGTCCTGCTTTTTGAACTCACTAATTAAACTCCTGAATTCTGGAACCCCTGGATTAATAAAGGTAAATAACTCCTGAAATAATAAAGGTAAAGAACTCCTGGATTAATACATGTTCATTTTATTTTATTTGAATAAATAAATAAATGGTCTTGAAGTTACACACTCCGGTACAGTAGGTGGCGGCATGCAGCTTTAAACTTCGGTTTGTATCCCTCCATAAAAACAAAAGAAGTTGAAATAACCAATGAGTAACGTCAGGGGGCAGCAGAGTGCCGTCGGTTCTGTGTGGAGAGCGAAGAGTAAACCATTCACTTCGCTGCTGGAAACAATATTCCACTCTATTGAAACACCTTTATGTACTTCAGTGCATACTAGAGGTAAGAATTACACGAATAATGTTGTCGTTCTTTCACTTCTTTTGAACTCTGGTTCTTCCATTTGTCCATTGAGATTAGCAAGTGGCTAACGCTAGCAAGGTTTGCTAGCTAGAAGCAGCAATACACAATCAAATGCTGTTGGAGAGTAATAATCGGTAAATTATTTATACAGCTATCTGGTTATTTAGAAATAACCATGGTAAGTAAACAGAACTTTGAACATGCAGCATAATGTCCTACTGCAATCGAACCTTACAATCCTTACAGACAAAAGTAGTGCAGTAAAAAGTAGAATATTCAAGTTAAGCACACGTACTTAAAATGTGTAATTAAGAGTACTTGAGTAAATGTACTTAGTTACATTTCACCACTCGGACAAATAAACCATCAAGTATTAAAAGCCATACTAGTAAACATTTATGAAGTGTCTACTCTTTTTCAGACTGGCTTTAGAAGATGTGAAATGCAGGGATCCACTCCGCTGAATGTCCTACATGTCCTGTTCTCTACAGTGTCTTTGACAGTTGATGATTGAGTGTCTCTGCTTGTCTCCCTCTTATCAGCCAGTCATCATGTCAGGGGGTCCAGCAGTGAGGGTCAGCATCGAGTCTACCTGTGAGAAGCAGGTGCAGGAAGTGGCCCTCGATGGAACAGAAACATACGTCCCTCCTCTCTCCATGTCCCAGAACCTGGCGAAGTTGGCACAAAGAATAGACTTCAGCCAGGGATCTGACTCAGAGGAGGATGAGGTCGAAGGTGAACCCAGGGACAGCGAGTGGAACAAGCAGGAGACCGAGGAAGAAGAAGGTAACGTATGCTCAGAGAAAGCAGAGCTGCTGTGTCACAGCCAAGATTGATCATCAATGTTACACTCTGTCACTCATCTTTAAGGTGGTATGTTAAAAAACAGAAGGTGAAGGATTTTCACGTCAAGATCCAGTTGGAACATTTTACAATTTATAATGAAAATACTTAAATAAATGACTGACACCACTCTCTGCAGCACTGTCCTGTTATCAGTTAGCAATGCTTCAGTCACATGAGTTGCGTTCCGATAATCCAAAAATCAGCTCCTAAGTTCTAACCCTATCTCCTATTCCTTGACCTCTGAGTGAAACGTCACGGGGTTAAGGGATAGTGGATAGGAGAATTCAAAAGGACTTAGGAGAAGAGACTGCGGTGCTTTAGAGAATCCGAATGCACTTTCACTATCCGACGTGTTTATGATGCGCAAGCGGGCGTCATTTTGTGCGTCTGCTGCTGTGGGGAAACTACAGTTTTCTATACAACGGACTACATGGATGTTTAATAAGAACGAGGGACTACTGTAAACTCATCTAGAGACTCTGCACCGTGCTCTGATGCTGTTGTGTTATGCTTCATGAACGTGGACAACAGAGAAACATATTCTTCATGACCAAAGTTGGAATTGAAATAAAAAAGGAAAGTGAAACGTGTGCTCGTCACCCTCTCCCTCCGGTCCACATTAATACAAATGATCCCAATACGTATGATTGTATGAACTATGAAAATATCTTAAAATCAATACAAATGTATTTATTATAAATGTTAGTCCTTAACATCTATCACCATTCAAACATCTTTTAAAAGTTGAACAAACCCCGCACACACAGCTCAAAATGTGAAATGTTGACTTTATTTGATAATTTCAGTAAAAACTAACGTTCATATTTCTCTTTTTGATTATAATACTGATGAACGTTCAGAACAAAGCACTTTGGCAAGTTACCACATACGTTTTAAAAAAGCTTAATAAGCACCGTAACTTTCATGATATCATTTCTCGGTCATAATCGGTTGTTTCCGTGAACGGCCGACTGTTGAGTGACAGCAAATGCTGCGGCTGCAATGCATTGTGGGGCAGCATTTTCTCCTCTCCTTTCGGTGAGGGAGGTCCAGTGGTTCCTAAGCTAAAGGAAGTTTGAAACCTCCTTTCCTTTCATTTAGAGAATTGGAACAGCACTTAACATGGCTGCCACTGACGTACTTCCGGGTCATTTCACTGGGTTAGGAAGGTTCCTAAGCTAAATGGACTATTGGAACGCAACCATGGTGTTTTTCTTAGATGAAAAGTGGATTTGTGTTTTCCTCCCACAGGCACAGTGAAGTTCCAGCCGTCTCTCTGGCCCTGGGACTCGGTGCGTAACAACCTGCGCAGCGCCCTGACGGAGATGTGTGTGCTGCACGACGTGCTCAGCGTGGTGAAAGAGAAGAAGTACATGGCTTTAGACCCAGTGTCTCAGGACCCAGCAGCTAACAAGGTCAACAGGAGAATATCATTTAAAGGGGCAGTTCACCCCAAATTCAAAAGTATATATATTCACATGAAGTGCTTTTTATCAATCTAGATATTGCTTTCTTTCCATTCAATTGGAAATGGACTCACTTGCACAGTGTATGGTGGACGTAGTTTTGTTGGAAAAAAACGGTCCTACATAATTCCGCTCACAATGGGTTCTTTTGACTATCTGAAGTAATCAAGTCACGATTTCTGATCATAGACATTGCTCGTTTGCTTCTCATATGTATGTATCCACCAATTGTATCACTATGCAGAATGAAGCGTGCATCTACTCATGGACATGAAGTGCGTGTTGACTGTTGACTGTTCATATGTTTTTTTTTTGTTCCATCTAGTTTCACACCAAAACAATGTAGATTGATAAAAGCATTATAGTAAAGAGAAAACAGGTTTATTTTCTACATAATGACTTCCAATGCACAACAGCTTTCCTTGCTTTGTGCAGACCCCCCAGGTGTTCCAGCTGATCAGTAAAAAGAAGTTATTGGGCACGGCCGCGCAGCTCCTCCTGAAGGGAGCAGAGAAGCTCAGCAAGTCAGTAGCAGAGAACCAGGAGAACAGGAGGCAGAGGGACTTCAACTCTGAGCTGCTGCGCCTCCGCTCCCAGTGGAAACTACGCAAAGTGGGAGACAAGATCCTGGGAGACCTGAGCTACCGTAGCGCAGGTGAGAACGCCTCCAAGAGAGACCTCTAAGGGCTCCTTCAAAGACTCAAAGGCTTTATTGTCAGATGCACAGTAGCTACAGTGTAGATCTCTCATCTGAAGTCCCTGGCTCCTCCAACAATGCTATATATATATATATATATATATATATATATATATAGTATATATATATATAGTAGTATATATATATATTGTAGTAGTAGTAGTAGTAGTAGTAGTAGTAGTAGTAGTAGTAGTA